ATGGTTGTTTATCTATTATTCATGTATCATATATGCACATAACCCTGAATTTCTTTTTATGCAATGAATTAACATAAACCATTAAGTTATCATCCGGTGATAGAAATGAAATTGAAATGAAACGGGATTTTTCTGCACCATTTGGTCTATTGTGTAGACGGGACCTCGGTTTACGTCCCACAGTCGATGGATGGTAGAAAGTAGATTCCGAAGGAAGAAATAAAAGCCATATAAGTCGAATGATAAGCAGTAATAAGCAGTAATTGTATTCTATAGAATTGTCACCTGTATATTCCAGAAACAGTATATCAGAGATTATTATTCATGATTATGATTCTGGTGAGTCACATAAAAATGTGATTAACCATTTTCTGCTTCACTGCTATATAACAAACTTCATTGCATATAAACCTTATAACGTTTTGCACACATGAATAAAAAAACACAAAAAAAAAACAACCAAAAGAACAACCATGCATACATGATGGTGGGTAGAAAGAGATAAAAAAAACTATATATAACATGAAAATTTCCCTCATAGTACACCGTATGGCGTATGCCCATCTTCATTAGCACAGTTGGGATCAGAACAGTAGGACGTTAAACCCCATTTCATTTCATATCATATCCGTCATTGTAGAGACGTTATATAATATCATGAATACAATATAAGAAAATCAATAGCTAGAACTGTAATAATTCACAGGTTTGATGAGTAATTGTATTTTCTTCCTGTGGGAATTCAAGTGCTCGGCTGATTTGCTTATATATAAACATTACACGTGCAGTGATGTTACATTGTTCCCTGCACACACTCTGTTACCAAATTATATATATAAACATTACACGTGCAGTGATGTTACATTATAGCTCGCATGTATATACAGCCTGTGACCAAATTACACATTAATGTAAATAATTATTTAATAAAATAAACTTATAAATAAACTTACTTACATATTAACAAAAATAAAAATCTACGCAGCTGTACCTGGTTATCTATTTACGAAATACGAAACACGAAAAACGAAAAGACTTCGTTATAATACAGATCCCTGTTGAATCCCTCTGTCCATGTCGCGTGCTACCCTATACCTGGGGTGTATACACTACCGCTGGTTTATACACACACCCGGTGTGTCCTACATTCAACTAGGCCTGGATAACTTACAAAATATACACTTACATACAAGTATACATCATTCTCGATTCAACACTGAGGCTTTTTTATCCAGATTTAAATAATTATAAAAAACTAGCAACCAAATTTGCATTACTTTTTTTTAAAAACCTGCTGTTCGAGACAACTTTAAAATATGTCGTGTTTTTGCTTCAGTAATCAAAGTGTAAAATATTTCTCATGACCTTTCTGAGTTAAAATATTTAACCTTCTGATGTAGATGAATGAATCAACATCCCCCATTACACCATGGTTAAACCAGTACAATATTATATTATAGATATATCGTTTTACTTATCTTTAAACAAAGTTTAAATATACAAAAAAACTTCTTGAAATGCCCCACATGAACATACACAGAATATTCTTGGTGCGAGAAACGCTGATAATATTCTGGAAATGATAAATGAAGTGAAATAGGGTTTAACGTCCGACGGTTCTGCTCTGACTGGGCTAATGAAGACGGCATACGGCATACGCCATAGATTGTGCTATATGAGAGAAATTTCGCCAGGGCAGCAGCACTACGAACTGCTCTTATATCCAACTGCCAAGAGATCTTTTACGTGCACACCAATATATACACGGGACCTCGGTTTTTCGTGCATCTATACAATTTTTCTCGACAGGCAGGTAGGGGGGGGGGGCATCTTTCCAGGCCATCACCAGGATCGAACTCCTTGCCTCCCGGTTAATGGGGATCTTTAACGTGGACCTCGCCTTTTCGTACAATCCCAACAACTATACACAATTTCTATTTACCCTGCAAAACTAATAAGGGGGAAACCGCGCCGGAAATGCTAAGGACTCGAACTCGTGACTTCCTGGTTACTGAGAATATAATTCAAGACTTGTAGTGACTCTGATGGAACGCCTACAAAATGGCTAAACATTCCTTTATAGTGAATATGAAAGTTGGCCTACATTATCGATTTTAATAATATCATATAAATTTTTTTACTAGTATATTTTTCTTCAATTCATTTTATATTTTGAAGGTTATCCGTTGCATATTGGTGCATTTGAAAGGTTGACTATATAAGACAGATAGCTATTGATTTTATGATAACTAATTATATGTTTTTTATTCAGTTTTTTGAAGTTTATCAGCCCTAAAATAACTGTAGGCCAATAAAGAGAGAGATAGAGAAATGGGGTTTAACGTCCACTCGACACAAACTAGGTCATTTCCGGACTAACATAAGGTTCTATTTTATTTCAATAATTCGCTTGCGCGTTGGGGTCTTTAGCAGTGGAAGGAAACCGGAGGACTCGGAGAAAACCCACGAGGTTGGACTCCTTGTCACGGTGATTCGAAACCATGCCAGTTGAGTTAATGAAAGACCACCCACCCCCACCCCCTCCCCTGCCGTTAATCGGTATTGAGTAAACAAAGCGTGTTGTTCTTCGTGGTGTTTAACGCCCGCTTCCACCGCTGGTGATATCGCAGGCAAGTTGCCTTAATTTTATTATCTTAGGGAACAACATTCGCACACCCCCAATGAATATGGTCAATCTTCATGAAAGTTTACTCGGCCAATATCTGACTTTACTACCTCGAATACAAACATGATCTTCTGGGACTATGGCAAATGCATGTTGTCATATATTCGTTAAATATTTAAGACAATACTTCATATCAATAAAACTGTACTCATATGAAATCAGCATTGATTCTATCTCTATAACATCCGTTACGCGCGCTATTTAAGCGTTATTCACGCATAAGTCATTAGAGTATAGATTAATAATATACATGTAATATTTATAAGCTTGATTATGATATATTTATTTAAAGGCGCAGCGTATCCTCGCGTAGATTAGGCGCACCTAAGGCGATGACTGTGTAGGAGGTGTTCCAGAAAAAATAGAAATCTCGTGGCTTAGGGAGCTAGTAGCGCCATTAAATCGTAATCCACACATAAGTCATTACAGTTTAGATTAATATATATGTAATATTTATAAGCTTGATTATGATATATGTATTTAAAGGCGCGGCGTATCCTCGGACAGATTAGGCGCGCCTAAGGCAGTGGCCGAGTTTGTCGGAGGTGTTCCAGGAAAATTAGAAATCTCGAGGATTAGGCGCATCCTACGGCACCCAGTGAACTACGTGTAGGACGCTAAACTCCATTTCATTCGTTTACCTAGGTGGCTCTGATGGTATTACGTTTGCGCACTAGCCACGAGGTGTCATTCAATTCCGGTGATAACCCATATAATACCTCGGGATTGTTCACTGTAGCTTCTCCTTGTTAGTGGTCACAGTGGTGCCGGACGGAGACCCCCTCCCCCCGCATTCTCCTGCTAATCGTGCAGCAGTGCACCGAGCATCATATCTTTAAATCCATTATTACATTACAAATAAATTACCACCAACTCGTGCGATCGTTGGTAAAAAAAAATATGATATGTTAATAAGATAGTTATTAAAAAAACAAATATGATAGGTTTGGCAAATGATGATTCTTCATTACCGCGACATACCAGTTCATTATGCTGCACAAACAATATAATTAGAACCTCATTAGCAACATAACCACAATGCGTTATGTCAGCTTAAAGGAGTTAAGTCTCTTACTCAATATCAGCCAAAATCTTCCACATTGAATACACGAATTATTTGTCAATTTAAATCAACATTGATGTTGTGATCTTACCGGGAAAAGATGGGCTTCTGATATCCAATATTTAAGACAAAATAAACATATTACCATTGGTACACGAATCGTGTACCATAATGCGTTACAGTGCCATTTGTAACAAGCGACTCGAAGAACGAAGCTAGACATATTCCACAAGTCATGTCAAACGGTTGCCATATTCTTATCTGAAGAGCATGCGTAATAAATACTGCCGGTGTAGACTGGAATAACCAAACGCTAGAGATTGCCATTTGTAATAAGGGACTAGAAGATATGTTTCTAATTATATACTCGTTTTAGGTATTAATTGATATACAAATACCTAACTTATTAAATATTTACAAATCTATCTGATAATATGACTCGCTTAAACAAATTCATTAAAATTCACTGAACTTTCCCATAATTTCACTCAAAAAGACAAATTTACACAAATTTACATATCTACCACAGAAATCAATCTAACCACGACCACCTAAATCACTTTCGCTTTAGTAATATAAACAAATATTTACATATTTATAATATCCGACGAGAATTCAATACAAATGCGACCTTTTCTAATTCATATTAATTTCTCTGACCCCCTGAAATTTCTTTCAGTTTGGTTGTGTTAATAAATATTAACTTGGAAGTTCATAACACATGTCACCCAAGATATTTTCTATCAAAACGTTGATGGAATTAAAATCAATACGGATCTTAACGGTATCAAAATCAATAAATTACAATAACCAAAATAAACTCAATGTTCGTTAACTCATTAGAATGAATAAAATGGGGTTTAACGTCCTACTGTTTTACTCCGAACTGGGCAATTGAAGACGGGCATACGCCATACAGTGTGCTATGAGGGAAATTTTGCCCGGGCAGCGGCACTACGGCCTACTCTTATATGGAATTCCAACTGTCAAGGGATGTGTACACGGGACCTCGGTTTTTCGTCTCATCCGTACGACTAGACATCTGTCCTAGTCAGGCCGTCCGTCCTGCATCACTGACAAGGGGAAACCACGTCGGAAAATCCCTATGAACTTTCTCGGCCAATACAGGGATCGAACATCCGACCTCCAGGCTAGCGTCTTACCCACTTAGCCACCGCGAACCCCATTAACTTATTAGACATTACATAATAAACGTAAACACGGTGTTAATAAAATCTACACTTGACTTACTCCAATCTCGTTTTCATCCAATACCACCCACAACCATCTTTTGTTCATATCCGCCCATTCTGTCCAGTTGCGTTCCTGAGATAACACTGACCATTCTATAGATTGACCACTGGAATCACACATTGAGCAATCACACTGTCCCCTTGTCTTCTTGCGCGAAATCCAACTGTGGTATATGAACTTGATATACCACAGTTTCTAGAATACAACATTGTCTACATCGTGCCGATAATAAAGTGCTGCTAGTCCTGGTCTGTATTAGAACGATAGATTGAAGTTGACGACAACGCTTTAAATTGATCAATGAGATCTATAGCCTTAGTAAATACAGGCACGTGTTTTCTCCTTCTCTATAAAGATATAATGTGGCGAATTTTTTTGCCAATGTCAATTATATTTTTTTTAGTTTTTGGCAGATGGTGTTGGCTTTTGGCAGTAGACGAACGTTCGCGAATTATCGGACGAGTATGACTTTAATGTAGCGGTTGCTTACTGCGTTATATAGCATTAGAGAAGAACACAGGGTTTATGAGTTGCTGAATGCAAGAATGTGACAATGGCTGCCGACAGGGCGTTTCTAATGAAACTATGTCCGTCTTTCATAGACCACACTCATGAAATTTTATCTGATAAACTTTTAATTAATTTAAACAAAAGTGAAAGGTCAGACAACAATGGGTTAAGTTCGATAACATTCCACAATCGATCAACACAACTGATATAGGGTAATTGGTTCAATTGATTAAATACTTATCTTATAATCTACCTGTATGCAAATAACAAAGGCTCCATTATCATCATATCACAAATATATTAAACTAAGGGGATTAATGTCTATTTATAGAGAGGTTCATTATCGATAGGACATCAAAGAGTAATATAATCCCCAATCAACCATGGATATGTACATCCTATTTTTACGTTAATTATATCAATTCGTGAGATATAGATATTTGTAAATCAGTATAGGATCTCTACGTTCAAATTAAAACTATAACATATGCTTATGGTAGAACAATTACTGATTTATTTAGGCGACGTTTCCGAGAGTATTCTCTCAACGTTTTCAAGCAAGTACGACTAATTGTTTTTGGATGAGACAAAATGTTTTGTTTTTAAATAATTAAAACGTATCATTTTAGGCGTTAGATAGGCATAATCTTGATTCTCTCTAAATAATTACAATATATTTCAAATAAGCGTCACGACTTAAATATGCATGATCTTTGAAAATCAGTCAAGAATCTCTAAATTCAAATTGAAACCAAAAACAAAGCTTTGGATGAGATAAAAAGCTTTCTTTTTAAATAATCACAATATATTTCAAATAAACGCAACAACTTTAATATGCATGATCGCGGAGAAAATTGTATCAATATTCGTAAATCCGTCCAGAATCTCTAAGCTCAAATTGAAACCAGAAACAAAGATGGGATGAGATGCAAATCGCCAAATAAACGTCAAGCATTAAACATAATCTTGGAGAAAATTAAAAGGAATTTCATTTATATAGAAACTGACAATTGGAATCGTCGAACAATAAACCGAATCCTACATAAAAGTTTTCCAAATCCTCTGAGATTTTAGATACAACTGAATCCATGTAGCCGTAATAATTAATTGTTCCAAAATTATTATACTATCAATTCACCAAGACATTAACTCATTGTGACACACCCACATCTGAGCAAGACAAGGTCGTTTAATTCACACACGATTTCACTTCGATCACTGTAAACTGTTTCTCCTTATTCTCGACAACTGTTCTTCAGTGATGTCTCTCTTTCAAAGGCATTGATCTGAGAAAATGGGGGTTTGTTAACCATTCAATTAGCCAGCATCCCGTATTAAACGTGTTAAACCGTTAACGACTCCTCAAGTGGAATCCTTCATTGGAACACAATGTCCATATTTGATTTATAGCTGACAACGTACACGTATCAATCATTCTAAGATGGTGATTTTCTTTTAAAAGTTAATGGCCACTTTCTAAGCAAGCGTTAAGAAAACAACTTCAACATTGTCCATCATCAATTCTTGTTGAAAGATAACATCTCCAGAGTTCAAAATAATCTTAACGTTGTCTATCATCAATTGTTCTTGAAAGATAGCATCTTGAGAGTTTGAAATAATCTTAACGTTTTCCCTCGCCCTTTATCTTGAAGGACACCACAGACATGTAGATAGAAATAATCTTAACGTTGTCCCTCGCCCTTTTATCTTGAAGGACACCACAGACATGTAGATCGAAATAATCTTAACGCTGTCCCTCGCCCTTTATCTTGAAGGACACCACAGACATGTAGATAGAAATAATCTTAACGCTGTCCCTCGCCCTTTATCTTGAAGGACACCACAGACATGTAGATAGAAATAATCTTAACGTTGTCCCTCGTCCTTTATCTTGAAGGACACCACAGACATGTAGTTCGAAATAATCTTGAGGTTTGTCCTCATCAATTTTTCTTGAAATAAAAAACTTAGTTCAAAATAATGATAGAATTATATTCTAGCATACACGTGTCATTGTTAATAGTAAAAATGTAGCTTTCTGGATATGGTTTTAAAACAACCCTATACCTAGATTTAAACACTTTCTGGTATGGTTTAAAAACTAACGGATCCCTAGGATAAAACACTTTCTGATATGGTTTTAAGACAACTGAATCGCTTGGTTTAAAAACTCTCTGGTGTGGTTTTAAAACAGCCGGAACCCTAGGTTTGAAAACTTGCTGATATGGTTTTAAAACTACAAGGACACTAGGTTGAAAACATTTTCTGATATGGTTTAAAAACTAACATGTCTAAAACACTTTCTAATATCGTTTTAAAACAACATTGACATCAGGTTTAAAAAACTTTCTGAACAACTTTTAGATAATCGTCACATATTCCCAGCCAATTAATGTCTTCCATTATCACACATTAAAGCAACGTAAAATAAAAACATAACATTTTCTACGAATTTTTAACCCAATGTTTTAAAGTTCTAAACTGCAGCCACTTTCAAAAGTTTTCTTATTAAGAAAATAGTCCACGCGTTATTTCAGTAAGCAACAATTTGTTCAAGACGTAGTTAATAATTAACTTTACAACACTGAAAGGTCAAAGTTGAGTTTATATATTATGTACCACGACTTTCTTTCCTCTTCTTTTATTCAAACATACACAGGTGTCACTTAATTTCAAATTATTCAAATATTTGTTATTACTAATAATAGACCTGTATTATATTTATCATTCATATTTTCTAAGAAAATATTTATTTTTTTCCTTAACATATTTCCTACATCCGTGATTACATTATGCACCTATATTTAACTAATATCCTCAATTCATATTCTCGATCATCGTCAATAAATTAAATGGGGTTTAACGTCCTACTGTTCTGCTCCAACTGGGCTAATGAAGACGGGCATACACCATACAGTGCGCTATGAGGGAAATTTTGTCTGAACAGCGCACTACGGCCTACTCTTATATCGAATTCCAACTGTCAAGGGATCTTTTACGTGCACGCCAATGTGTACACTGGACCTTGGTTTTTTCGTCCCATCCAAACGACTAGACAGCTGTCCTTGTCAGGCCCTCCGTCCTGCACCACTGACAAGGGGGAACCACGCCGGAAATTCCCGATGAAGTTTCTCGGCCAATGCAGCGATCGAACATGCGACCTCCAAGCTAGCGAGCCAGCGTCTTATCCACTTAGCCACCGTGGATTACATCGTCAATAAAAATTATTTAATACAAATACCATTATTAATATCTAGAATATTAAATTAGCATTCCGTTATAAAGTGCGTTCTACTGGAACACATCAAACAACTCACGAAACAAAAAAAAATATCAGGTAAGGAAAACTCCTGCATAGAACTGCACAACAAATAACCGGCGAAACAAATAGATGTAAGGAAAACTCATGCACAGAACTGTAAAAAAATCTCTAGAGTAAATACAATTATCTCAAATCAATTGTAAAATCTATAATACATGCAATATTTCTTTTAAACGAATGCACGCACATGTACAATTTGAGTAGTTGCCGATGGAGTGTCTACTATAGGTCAACTGGGTGTATGCTTAAACAGAGGAAAACATTAATCAAATAGTGTAAAAGTCTCATCTAAGATCACCCTATGTTATATTTATGAGTAGTTTTATTATTTGTATTTTTATAGAAGTGTGGGAAATGTTATCAGTGTCGTTATATCTTTAATTAACAAGAGTATTTCTATTCTTTGTAGTTCGGCTCTAATAATGAAGATTCTAAAAATCACAAGTGACGTAGTGCAATCGATAACAATGATACAGTTCCTAGTGGAATTATCATCATGCAATCACGTCACATAGAAAGAAAGGTGTATTCATGATCTGTATTTGAAATATCAGTAGAGAGAGAGAGAGAGAGAGAGAGAGAGAGAGAGAGAGATGGGTTTAACATCCACTCGACACAAACTAGATCATTTCGGGATATATTTCCTAATAGAATTATCATCATGCAACCACGTCACATATAAATTGAAATGGGGTTTAACGTCCTACTGTTCTGCTTCGAACTGGGCTAATGAAGACGGGCATACGCCATACAGTGTGCAATGAGGGATCTTTTACGTGCACGCCAATGTATACACGGGTCCTTGGTTTTAGGTCCCATCCGAACGGCTAGACAGCTGTCCTTGTCAGCGCATCCGTGCTGCATGGTTATAAATGAAATGAAATGGAATGGGGTTTAACGTCCCACTGTTCGGCACCTACTAAGCTAATGAAGACGGGCATTAGGTTGGTTTTTTTTAAATCATGGATAGGTTTAGGATGTCCTAAACCGTTTATTTTGGCCCAAGCTGGTCTAGTTATATTCCCAGGCCCGATGGGGAAATATAACTATATGTTAAAATCAGTACGGATTACAATAATCTTTAGCAAATGATTCCCATTTGTCTGTAACAGAAACCTTGAAAGTCATTTTTCCATGCCAACTGGCCTACCCCCACATATGACACTCACACTCCTTCTATTTAGGGCACGTGATTGTGGGTTAGGGTTAGAGATGGGTTAGGTTTTCGGTAGCGCTAGTCCTGTTTACAATCATGTGACCTTGACGAAATCTGCAGATGGCCTTAATTTTTAGATCTGGCCCTGTATTCAGACTTGAGTTTATCTGATCAGAAACCAAAGATATGTGAATCTTATTATAAAAGTAAAACATGTGGGTTTCATCCAGAAAATTGGGTTTTCAATATTTAACTTTTAAATAGTTCCTTCTAGTTTACTTCTTGATTTGAACTTTCATCGCAGAAATGAAATGAAATGGGGTTTAACGTCC